GTGAATGTAGAGTGCTGTCTTCATTTGGAAGAAGTGGAAACTTCCTTTCCAGCTTTCATTGCGTTTGGAAGCTTTTGTAATACACACCAAAACATATCAACAGAAACAAATATTTTTTTAAAGTATTTTTATCTGCCTGGCTGTTGTCTTATCTAGAATTTTTCCAAGCTCATGATTTTTTTACAAAATGTCACTGTTTCCAGAGTGTCATTATACTTTCATTCTTTATAACAGGAAGTAATTAGAAAGAAGTCATCCAGATGGACAGTATACAACGATAGGCTGTATACTGTGAAGAAGAAACCAGAATATTCAATACAATAGTGGTTATAAAAGCATTATACACAGACAGTGCTACTATATTCACTTTAAGAGCAGGCGCTTCTATAGCTTCTATGTTCTTTTTATAGAATCTCTTGCTTCTATAGCTCCTTTATTGTTTGGTGTCATGACTGTGATATCATTATGATGCTTTCCTATTATGTTACTGGTGCTTTGGGGTTTTTTTATGCATTATGAAGCTATTGTTCATTTTAGAAGTCTGGAAAACTTTGAAAGATAATTGATTTTTTACTTTTACTCCCTGTCTAATATTTGAATCTCATAAAACTACTTCCTTTGTAAAGTTTTACCTCTTTTTCATAACATTAGTTTTACTTTCCTTTTTTATTTAAAAATATGCCATAGTAGAGCAAAATTGCTATTGGGTTTTAATTGCAAGAAACTCATTAATTTCTATTATAGAAAATATAGCTTTTCATAGTGAACAACATCTTTGAATCCTCAGAAGAGGATTGTGAGTTACTTCTTTATGCTACAAACTGCAGCCAAAACATAGAGGCTTTGTAATTACGTTCACAGAGCTGACTTGTTTTAGGGCGTTTTCTAGGGTCTATAGAATCTCCGTTTGTGATTTACTACATAAGAGGATTTTGTATGGTTTTTATTAATCTTCTGTTATCCTTAATCCATTTTTATACTTTGTTTCTTTGGGGGTTTTGTTATTTGGGTTTTTTTTGCTTTGCTTTTTTAATAAAACATAATTATATTCAGAATAGAAAGGTGCTTACATTTTTAATGTTTGTATAATCCAGTGAGATGTCTTCTCTACCTTACTACTTATCAGTGAAACAATTTAAAATTAATTATTTATTATAGCCTTTATATTTCATTGAGAAGTTAATAAACATTTCCATACATTTTTAGAGGAAGCAAAGCAGAAGTCCTGGTTCTTCACTATGTAAAGCAGGAGAGAAATATTCTAATAGACCTGATATATGAATGAACACAAAATGCTGTGACTTCAAGACTTAAAGCTCTCTTTCCACCTGAAAATTAGCTACAGGTGGTCAGGAGTGGAAGTCTCATAGAAGGAGAAGGAGTCACTTACAGATAGAAATTGAATGTTTGCTTTTAAAGCCTGTTCTTATGCAGACCCCACCAACCTGACTGCCTCATTCCATAGGTAGTCCTTCCCTCTCATTGAACCTGAAAAGAAGCAAAGCATCTGGATTGCAAGATTGTAATGTCATCTGGTCATTTTTCCAACAGGGATTATTTAGGCCAAGGAACCCAGTGATAAAATGGCAGAACCAGGACCATTGGGCCTCACAGTCATTTTGCTTCTCCAGTACAGCTGGACTTTGAGCTGAAACGCTGAGAGCATTTCAGGGTTGCTGCCAAGTCTCTGTCTCAGTCAATATGCTCATTTTAACAAAGACTGCTATGCTCCTGTGCTCCGGAAAACGTTATTAAAGCTCATGTTCTTGCCAAAGTCCAAATGCAAAACACCTTTACATGCACAAAGTGTATGATGAAGCATTGCTCTGCTTATTTGAGGAGATGGGAAAGAGCAGTTATATTGAAAAGAGTGGAATAATAAGTTTTGCAATGTATCAGCATTTTTTTCTCATCCTGGCTCCCCCACTCCCTTGACTTTGCTTTCACCAGTTTTAGAGGAGGGAGAATACTGATGCTGAATCCTGAGGAATTGTCTTGTCCAATAGGATAACATCTACTTGTTTGGTTTCTTCCACCTCCCTATTTTCTGCGTATCTCATTAATTTCTATTGACTTAATCTTTCTACGTAATGAACTGTTATTATCACATCCAACCCAGATGGTGTTTGACCCACAGAGAAGCTAAATGTCCTCTTCAATGTGGTTCAGAAGATCTGGTGATAGAATTAAGCTAGGATTCCCAAATCCAGCCTGTGAATGTTTGTTCTTGCCTGGATGAGTTTAAGGGCAAAACTCGCCTCTAAAAACTGAATTATTGCATTACCATTACCTAGATATCTGTTCAAATATTTTCTGAAATGGAAAAATTGGACCCTGCATTTTATTTCCTAAAATCATTTAATAGTATCCTCACTTTTCCATGTCCTCAATCCTCCACTACTCAAAAGCATTAGTTTTTGTTTCAAAAGCAAATATATCCATCCTCGATCTCCTCTAGCACGTGTTTGTACACTGCTCTTGCCAATTTGAGTAATTTCCAAGGATGCTACCTTTTGCCCTACAGCTGATGTTCAGTTTAATCAGACATACTTTCTTTAATCCATGACACCTCACCTTAGACACTGACCTCCCATGCAAAGTCAGCAAATATCTCCTGACAGTTTGAGCATTACATATGTCCTGAATACCCTTCATGCAATAATACCCTCAAACACTTCAGAGAAGTTGAGCATTTCATGAGTAACCTGGTAATTTCTAAAACAAGTTGAAATATTCTTTGCTTTCAACACAACAGTTTAAAGTTTACTTCAGAAAATAATTGCACCTTTCCATTTTCTCTTCTGTCTGAGGCACTGACAGTGAAGACAGGGAAATGGAAAGTTTTAAATTCTCGTACAGTAGTCTCATTCCCCCATAGAGACATCATTTGATTTCATGTAATGTAAAGGGGAGGCTGAGAGAAATGGCTGATATATCATATCTTTCTTTCAAACAGAGGAGACAAGTAACAGGAAGTAACAGCATGGCAATGCAAAACTGAAGTCTAATATATGATAAAAGCACAACCTATATAACTCTTAGGCATTTTTGCATTACCATCACAATGACATATGGATACTGAAAAAGGCATCTATATATATATATTTATATAAAAACATAATTCCATTGCAAATTTTAAGATATCTTGTTGTCCACCATTCCCTTCCCAATGCACTCATTGGCCCATACTCCCATGTAAGTCTTTCCATTTACTTCAGTAGGGGTTAGGTTAGACCTGTGTCCAACACACTCCTCCGAGAGCTAGGAGAAGTTCATTGCAGTGATCTCAGCAGCACCTCCTGATCTTTTTGTGCTGTGTGTCAGAAGACTTTTACAAAACATTAGGAGTTCCACACCTGGGACCTTGGTCATAAAATTAAATTTTCAGGGCTAACACCCGTTAGTGTGATTAATGAGAACTAGAGCCTGGGAGAAGAGTTTGAATGACTGTGAGACTGAGTGAACCAACTGAGGAGTCATCAATAGGACAAAATTAAATTGGTTGAAACAGAATAACATTGGGGATGAGCAGTTTACGTATAGCTATGCAAGACAGAAATTCTTAGTGCTTACCTAGCAGTTCTTTGCTTACACTAATTCCTCAGCCAAACTTTTGATACTTTATTGACACATGCACACATACACACACATGCACACATACACACACATGCACACATACATACTCTCTCACACGCATACTATCAGACACACACTTCTAACATATTTTATATTAACAACTTTATTTGCAATACTTTCACTGATTTATCAGAGAAGTATATATATCAAATATTTTTTAAATGGAGACAAAATGTATGTGATGTTGAATGTCAAACACAATGGGAACCTGCATCTAATTTTGACTATGTTAAATTTCTCTTACTTTATTCCTCTTCTGATTACTTTCAATTCCTTCCTAATTTTTATGAGGACACCATGAGAAAATTCAGTGTAAATGGCGGATTACAAATGTTCCACACCAAACTGTCATTCCGGCCCCAGCTCCGGTCCCGGTTCTGGTCAGGGCTCTGGCCTGTCTTAGGCTTTGGCCCCAGTGCCCACCCCTGCTCTGGCGGCCCCTGCCCCCATTTTGGTGCTGATGGGAGCAGCAGCCACCAGCAAGGACATGGGCAATGTGGTCCAGTTGGCCCCTGTCACCACCCACCGGAAGTGCTCCAAGAAAATGGACTGCCCGGTGAGGGATGAGAATTTAGACACAGAGGCAGGAGAAAGTCCATCTCAAGGTGAATCACAGCCAGAGGTCAAAATCCTCTCCCTGAAAGAACTATGAATTTTACGAAAAGGCTATGCCCGGGGGGGCAAACCCTTCAGTGCAGTAGCATTGACATTTTACATTTCTGTCCTATTTCAAAAATGAAAGGAAATTGTGAAAGGAAGTTGTGTATCAGCTGCACTCTCCCATATTGTGCTATTAAGCTCTAAGATTTCAGTGTTTTAGAGCTGAAATATAAGCTAGCACTTCCAACTCTACAACCTGAAATTTAATTGAGTTTTTCATTCTTTGTAGAATCAACTCATAAAAGCATTCATTACTCTTCAAAGAAAAGTGTGTTTTTATTTAAAACTCTCTTGCTATTACTGTAGTTTACTTCCTTCCATATGAGTTAATGATGTTTTATATCATCTTGGTTTTTTACTTTTTCCCTTTTTTTTAAGGATATTTTCCATGTTGCTTATTAAAACACATGCAATTCGGACAGTTCAGAAAATTGTTAGTGCCCTTGAGTTGTTACTGTAATAAGTGCACTCTGCAGTAGAAGTACAGCTGATAGCAATTGATGTCATGACCATAATAATATATCATGTAGAATCAGATTTTTCAAGAAAGTAACAGATTATTAAAAATGTTATTAATTTGACAAATGATAATGAGTTTGGCAAATAAATAGAAACTGAACACAAAGGACATAATTATTAAGAAATTTCCGTAAGTAAACCTGGGTTTGCAATTTCAAGGACAATTTTTCTAAGGGCTAGTAGTTGTATATACATGTTCTGCCAAGATACCTGTAGTTCTACTCTGAGAGAGGAGCCTCTCTTGATTTGCAAAGAGCCATGGACCTTAATGTAAGGAAAAAGGACTTCAGTTAAGTTGCTGGGGCAATATGTCAAGGAGGACTATGCAGATCATCTGTGAAAGATGTTTCAGTCTGCTGCATTATTCATAATGAAAATGAAATGAAGATGATTCTTCTGTTACTGCTCTGATGTACTCTAGCAAGGCTTCTTTGACATCACTGAAGCCTCACCTCTGTTCTAGGCTAGAAAATTTTCCTTAATTTCTGAACCACTAGTAATTAAAGACTTTATTTGGGGTTTTTTTTCCTCAGTATAAAATCTTGCTTTAAATGGTGATGCTTTATTCTGTGTTGTTTGTTTGTTGTTTTTTTTTTCCCCAGAACGATTCAATGTGTATCTTATGCCTACACCAAATTTAGATATCTATGGGGAATGTACAATGCAGATCACACATGAAAACATCTATCTCTGGGACATCCACAATGCCAAGGTCAAGCTGGTCATGTGGCCTCTGAGCTCTTTGAGAAGATACGGACGTGACTCAACATGGTTCACATTTGAATCTGGAAGGTAAGAGCTAAGGAGAAGCTGCAAAAAGAAATAAGCAGTGGTTTTTGAGCAGCAGTTTGATAAATTAGATTAGTCTCTCATTATAAAGAAAGAATACATGGCCTCTCCATAGACTTCTGCTTGTTAAGTATTACTTTTCAATATAGTCAGTGTTTGAAATAAACATAAATATATTTAAAATGAGCTTAAGCTTCCTCTGACTTATTTAACTGCATTTGAATTGTCATTCTTAAGCTTTATGAGTGTCACTGTGCTTAAACACTAGTATGGTATAATTTGAGTACTTCTGATGTAGAAGAAATTAATTATGGATCATGAAAAAGGCTCATCATACAGTATAAATGGAATAACTTCCTTTATGATAGATATTACTCTTTTTGCATGTTCCTGATGACTGATTGCCACCCTAGAGTATAACTGCAAGCAGGAATACAGAAAACATTGTGAACTCTTTATTCTGCCTGCAGTTTTAATTATCATTGCCGTTTCCATCCTCAGATCAGTTTTAAATGTCTGTGGAGCTCTGTTTTGCCTCTCTTTCATATCTTTTCAGTGCATTTAGCATCTTGCCATTAAAGTCCACTGCCTTTGCTGCATTTCTGCACAGAAATAATTCTGCATTTATCTCTGTCTTTAATGATGTTTCATCTTGTATTTTATGGTTCTAGACTTTTCTAAGTTTGTCATACTCACTTAAGTCAAGCCTGAGTTTTCTGAAGCAGTCAGTGAAAGAAATTACAGGTGTCTCTACACTTGGGTTAGCCACACTGCCTTGTTAAAAACCTTTATACGCATTTTGATGTATACCTACTTGTTCAATATCATTTAGAAATATTCACAAAAGTACAGTTAGTGATCACAAACAAAAATATGGATCAAGCAAACCCAACAGCCTAAGGAGTTAATGACCAAAACTCTTCTGCAGTTTCTTATAGATAGAAGTTACCACTTAACTTGTGACTTTATACATCCAGACTGGTGTCACCAGAGCATAATAGTGCTCTGCTGCTTTTCTGTGATGACTTCACCATTAAGAATAATGAAGACATCATTACTTTATTTTTATTTAATATTTTTTTACTAAAAATTAGCAATGGGTGACCCATGTTTCAATTTAATTTCGATGATTAAGCTGTGTGGTCATTCAAATATGCAGTTTTAGTAAGAATAATTTGCTAAATCCCCTAGGCCTCAAACTACCTTATGTGAAACTAGTTCAAGCAGCATACCTATGCAATAACAGAAGGAGAATAAAATGCCAAAAACAGTGCCTGAAAAGCACCTTATTATTCTGGGGAAAACCAAATAAGCAAAGAAAGAAACAAAACTCTGAGGATGCATCTTTATTCCATTCTTTGTGACTATCCCACTCATCTGACTCTACATTTGTATTTGCAAGTATGCATTTTATTAATGGGGAAGGGGTTATTTGTGCATAAAAAGGTGATGACTGAAGACTTACTAATGTTTGCTTATTCAGAGTAGTATATCTGTCTGTGAGTAGACCCACTTTTTTAATTAATTCTGAAGAAATTATCTTTGGAAATTGGAATCATCGTTAACTAAAGTTAAACTGCTAAAACTAATTCAGATTAATCACTTGATATTGATTTCTTATATGTGTCTCAAAATGTTGATGTGTCATTCTCTATAGTGTTTTAATTATGAAAAAAGTCATTCTGTATTATACTGAAATTCTTTTTTTTTTTTTTTACAAGGTAATTCCTTTTTGTCTTTCTCTACTACTCTATTTTTATCTATGGCACATCAGTACTAACAAACTATGTGTTGTATATATTGAAGTAAAATGTGAGTTTTATCTTTCTACTTTTTCAGTGCTCCTAAAGTATTTTAATTCTGTACTAGTATCTGAATATCATCTTTCCCTGCAACCCATGAACCATGAAACCTTTTGAGGTCCCTTCCAATCCCTAACGTTCTGTGATTCTGTGATTCTGTGTGAAAAGTGGACTGTATTCTTGCATTTTATTATTACGAGATAGCTCTGCCTTTATCTGTCATGCTTTATTGTCTTTGGTCTGATTTCTCCCTTTTGCTTGCTTAGGAGTGCTTTATCCATCTGATTTGGAAATGCATAAAGACTAGATTTAGACGGGTAGAAAAATGTGGAGGTAAAAAATAGGACTAGAGAAAAGCCAGTATTTTCAATACCATCTGAAGACTATATAGGGCAACACTAATGCTCATTTTGAAATCCGTTGTTGATTTGTTTAGTGTTTTATTTCTAATTTTTTAATCAGCATCTTTCTCATCTTTCTGAACTTTATTTTCTTTGTCTCTTGATCTGCTAGTACCTTAATACAGTAATTTCCTGATGCATGCTGTCTTATCAGAAGTCAAGTGCTCATCCATGTTTTATGAGAATGCTATGCAGTAAAAATGTTGTTGCTTTAATTTTTCCCTAAGGCTTAAATATTAAATGCAGTCAATTGCTTTAAAGGATATATTTTTTAATAGGTTCTTATTTTTTACTGAGTTTTAGCACCTATGCGGTATATGTGTATGTGATTTGCATGGACATTAAAAGCTCAGTTTTATATATTTATTATCCATCCTCAGTTTTGGTATTACTTTGTTTCAGAAAATAAATCTCTCCCATTAAAATAAATGGACATGTTCACAAAGAGATACTATGATAAATAAATGGATCAAAATTAAGCTTTCGGACAAATTTATTTTTAATAAATATATAGCTTTGCATTTAAATGGAATATGGACTCAGATGTATAAAACTAAACTCTTCACTTGTCTAATGAAATGTAGTAACTACATGATTGGCAGTATTTCTAAGATATGGGAGGTATAAATACAGATTATTTTAAATTGCCAGATTTTTCTGTCTAGTTTTGCACTGAATTGGAGTTTGTAAATATGCATCTTTGCACTACCTATGAAGTTAGACCCATTCTTTTTTTTATTATTTAATGAACCAATGAAAATAAATA